GAGGAGAAGAAGAAGAAGAAGAAGAAGAAGAAGAAGAAGAAGAAGAAGAAGAAGAAGAAGAAGAAGAAGAAGAGGAGAAGAAGAGGAGAAGAAGAGGAGAAGAAGAAGAAGAAGAAGAAGAAGAAGAAGAAGAATGAGTGAATGAATGAATGAAGAACAATGAATGAATGAATGAATGAATGAATAGAAGAAGAAAAAGAAAAAGAAAAAGGCGAAGAAGAAGAAGAAGAAGAAGAAGAAGAAGAAGAAGAAGAAGAAGAAGCAGAAGAAGAAGAAGTAGAATGAAGAAGTAGAATGAAGAAGAAGAACAAGAAGAAGAAGAAGAAGAAGAAGAAGAAGAAGAAGAAGAGGACGACGAGGACGACGAGGAGAGACGATGGAGGGGGAGGAGGAGGAAGGGTGACGACGTCGAGACTTACCTGGAGATGGTGTTGACGATGGCGGGGTTGGGGTGTCGCGTCCGTGCGAGCTCACACACGTGCTCGTTGATGCGTCGGTCGTGGTGTACAGCGACGGGGGGGGGAGCTGCCGGAGGGCGCGGGCGGGCGGTTCCCGCCCGAATTCGAGTTCGAATTCAGGCCCGACCTGGGCCGTCGATCGGATCGATCGGACGGCCCAAGTCGGGCCTTTTGTGTTTCGATTTTTTTTGGCCCTGTTGGCCTCGGCCTGCGGGGACCGAGGTTCGGCAAGGCCCCTTAATACCCCACGACACCCTCCAACCCCCCAAATCCCCCTAACACTAATGGCCACTATTTTCCGCTAAGGCCGGACCATTGTCGGACATCGGACCACCGGCCCGGTGGTACGGTCGGACAACCCGGACCGTTCCCAAGGTCCCGGACGTCCAGACAAGTAACCTAGGGAATTTGTCGTTTTATGGATATATGACACACGGGGTTGGGGGCAGCCGCCGCTCAACCTACATCCACGCGGGCGGCCTTGTACGCAAGAGGTTCTGAACAGGGGGAGTCTTGTCAGGAAGAAGTTAAAAAATGATTTTTTTTTATTTTTTATTTTTCCTTTGTTTGTTTTTTTCGCTTTTACGTTTTGATATCTATGTGACGATATATTTACATATGGTCCTACTGTATGGTTCCGTTTTTTCAAGTATGGCCACTGTATGGTTCCTTTTTTTCAAGTGTGGCCACTGTATGGTTTCGTTTTTTCAAGTATGGCTATGGCAAAATTGTTGGTTTTTTTTTTTTTTTTTTTTTGAAATTGTTGGTTTTTTTGGCATCTTTGTCTGCATCGCGGTTAGCTTTGTCTCGTTGTTCGGTCCATGTGGTGGTGTTTTTATGTGGGTTGTTCGGTCCATGTGGCGGTGTTTTCATGTGAGACTTGTCATCAAGGTTTTTTCCTTTTGGCATCCCAGTTGGTTGGTTCCCATTGTTCGGGAGGGGGTGCTTTTAGGTGGGAATCGTCATCTGGGATTGTCTTTACAATTTTTTTGCGGGTGGTGGCGTCCCAGTATTTCCGTTTGGACTAGCGAAGCATGCGTCGAAATAAGAATACCAACTTCTGGATGACGAATAAGGTCATCTACTGTGTATAAATATGTATTAGGGATTCGATAGGTTCTGTGCGGGGAGCGTGTGCTGGAAATGGCGGCGGGCATCTTCACATCCTGCCTGTTGGATGGAAGCTGATCTGGCCAAACTGTACCAGGAGCTGTGTTAGCAACGCCGGAAAGCTCTTTTGGAATGAGAGAAGGCATTTTAGGAAATCACGACGGCATTGTCAGAACGCCAGATTGCACGTTTGAAAGGCGAGATTGCACGTTTGGAAGGCGGGTATGCACGTATGAAAAGAGAGTATGCACGTTTGGATGGCTAGTATACACGTTTGGAAGGCGACAATCCAATTCCAAAACAAAAGAATGCGATTTCGAAACGGACGAGTTTAATTTCGAAACGGAAGCGTTTAATTTCGAAACGGTACAGTTTAACTTTGAAACGTAAGAATGCAATTTTGAATAGCGAGAAGGCAATTTTGAATCGCGAGAGGGGTATTTTGGAAATCGAGAAATGCGAAAGGGGTATTTTGGAAATCAAGAAATGTGAAAGGGCTTTGAAATGCGAGGGGGGTCTAGTGAACCGCGAGAGGCCAGTTTTGGATAGAGAGAGGGCATTTGTTGAGCGGGCGAGGGAGGGTACATCCAAGGAGGGAAAAAAAACGTTATTTGAGGAATTGGAGGAGGCGGACACCCAACGCTTAGCTGCAATAACGCGTAGGGACGAAGTGCCTGAGTTGTGTGTCACCGTAACACAAGCTGTTATTCTGCGCTCGCGAGGTCTGGCGAGACGTCTCTCCCTCCATTACTGTCCCGACCCTCTCCTGGAGTTCATCGGGAAGAATTGTCCCCGTCTTGAATCAGCTATGGATTAACGAGTTCAAATAGGAGAAGGCCGAGGAGGAAGATTAAGAAGYTGAAGGAACGATGAGGAGGAGGATAATGATGTCAACAATATGGTGGGTTCCAGAGTCATTATGATGAGGGCAGCGACCTGACGAGGACATAGGTACGGATTAATGAGTTTGAACGGGAGAAAGACTGATGCGGAGGCTAACGACGGTAAGAAAATGATAATCATGAGGATAATGGTGTCGATGATGACGTCGATGATGATGATGATGATGATATGGTTGGTGCGAAACATTACCCTCTGCTCCATCAACGTCGGTCTTCAACTTTTGTGTGTAGCTTTCAGGCATAGCTACGATGAAGGCAGTAATCTGACGAGTACTCAGGTATGGATTGAGGAGTTTCTACTGGAGAAGACAATGAGGAAGACGAGACGAGTAAGATGAGGAGCTAATAGTGATGAGGGTAATGATGCCAATGATGATGATGATGATAATGACGAGGGATTTCAGGCATAGCTACGATGAGGACAGCGATCTGACGAGCACTTGGGTATGGATTGATGTGTTTCAACCGGAGACGACAATGAGGAAGATGACTAAGATGACTAAGATGAGCGGATGATAGTGATGAGGGTAATCATGTGAATAACGAGGATGGTCATGGTAATGCAAATGGTCATGATGGCGATGAGGGCTTTTAGGCATAGCTACGATGAGGACAGTGATCTGATGAGCAGGTGAGTATGGATTGACAACTTTTTTTATTTTTTATTTTTATCCGGGCCCAGTATGAGTATGGATTGACGAGTTTCACCCGGAGAAGATAATAAGGAAGATGAATAAGATGAGGAGATGATAGTTAGCAGTATAATGCTGTCAATAATGAGGATGATAATGGTCATGCTGATGAGGATGATGGCGACGATAATGGAGATGGTGTTAATAGGGATGATCTGGCGACAATGCTAGCGATATGAAGTGAATGAGGTTAAGTTGATATGACATGTTACTCCTCTGCGTTGCGCTCGCCAAAATGACTAAACAACGATGTATAGGGAGAGAGAGGGAAAAAAAAAAAAAAAAAAAAAAGCAAGATGGGAAAGTCAAATAAGTCCACATGGGGTTACGGTAGGCGATGACTTCAGGGAGACTCAGTCCGAGCTAACCAGGGTAAGACGGTGGGTGTCAACGTAATTGTGCAGTAGATGCAGAAAGAGGTCCCGGACGTCCGGGCTTGTAACAGT